GCGGGGTGGATCGCAGCGTTGTATTTCTTGGGGACATCCTCGGATTCGCCCGTGAGCAGCATCTCGTTACACTTGAGATACCGTTGATACCGACAACACCAACAGCCAACAGCCTGGGCGTGGTAGCATAGGTGGTGGCAACGGCAAAGACTTGGAAGCGGCAGCAATGACATCAACGGTCAGAAACTTGCGGAAATGCTTGCGTACACTCTGGATGGCACTTGGGAAAATGACCGTCCTAAGCTTGGGTCGACACTGCCAGAAGGTGTACGAGTCGCACCGCCAACACATAATCAGTGGCAGGGATCACATCATCAGTGGCAGGAGCTAGTGCGATCTTGAGCAATGCCTGCAACTTGGTGCTACTGCGATCACTGCTGCAGAAGCAAATGCAACCGCGAACAGCCACCACGCTAGCCTGCACATCCATAAGGTGGCTTCCGGAGGAGATCGAGGACGAGCATAAATGTGGAGGCTCTCACAGCTTCCACTCCTTTGAATGGCTTCACAATGGACATCATGGTGCCAGACACGGTGGCTTGATCCTTGTTGGAGGCTTGTTGCAGTGACTCACTACTGTACATGTAGTACGGAGACGCATAACTTATGACATACCGGTAAGCCCCTAAAAGATTGTGCTGCCCTGATTTTCCCCTCCCGTGCAAGCCAACATTCTGACCCGCTAGAGAGCGAATCGGTTTAACCCCTTAGTTCCCGCATGTTGGACCGCTCAACATAACGGGTGTATCTTTTTTTTGGGCATCTATGTTATGTTGGAGGTCCAACATAAGCAAAAGTCATACTTAATTTTTGTATTGGAACAGATCTATTGAGATCGGCATACTGAAGTCAAGGTAGTATTATTGGTTCAAGACGAGCCATTGCACAGGGCTCGGGGTTTTGGATCAGGATAGTGTGACAAAGTCAAAGCACGCTATTCCCGTTTGAACTGGTGGCCGCCAGCCCAAATCTCTCCTCATTCTTCAATTTCGCAGCTTGCACGTAAGACCAAAAGCGATGGTCGCTACGGCAGGTAAAGGGCCACCCGGGCGGACACCACGGACCACGGAGCCAGGACACACTGCAGGAGAGACAAAGGAGCGACACGCGCAGCTGCTGACCAAGCTCAGCGATCGACACCGCCGCCATCTTCTTTGAGACAGCGCAGCGCTGGGCCAATTTGTGGCGCTTGCAGAGCGCGACGTGGTGGCACCACGTCATCGTGACGGTACTGCTCATGCGTGCCTATACTTTGATGAAAGCGGTAGTGCTGACTCTGTTGTGATTGTAGGTGCTCGTGATGACCGTGATCGTGCTGGCGGTAGTGATGGAGACACAGCTGGCGCTCAGGAGAACGCGGAACCCGCTGAAAGTGCTTTTGCGAATGCTGATTGTGTTTCTTCCGTTGCGGAGGCTAAGCAACCCGCTACCGCAAAGCCGCAGAAGAAACGAGCTGCTAAAGACCGCGCTAAACTAACGACACCAGCCATGGAAGTCCGATAGGCGACGGGAGTGTACAAGCCATCAAACCCTGGGAAGCCTTGTCAGGACGCCGAAGCCAAGGACGCAGAGAACGTTGAGGTTGACGCGACGGACGTCGCTGCTGAGGCAATGGCGATACCGTCGTCATCTGCAGCACCTACCAAGGCTCAGGTGCCACTAAGAACCAGTCGTGGTCGAGATAATGGCCGACTTGATGTCCAATTTGGAGACCGATGTCGGCGGCTCGCGTGGACAACGATGCGACACCCCTGCGCGTATTTCTTCACGGAGTTCAACAAAAGGAGCAGATTACGGCGAGGCGTCAATCTCTTGGCAGGAGCGGTCGACCCCCAAGCCTCGGAAGTCAAGTCATCGAGAACGCTGACCGTCCTCGTTTTACAAGACGACAACCTGTAGTGGCGTTAGACAGAGGACGCAGTGGGCACCACAGGGGCCCCTCCGGGTCTGTCCACGGGTGATGGGGAGGGAGAAGTGATACGTCATTTGGAAGCCCGACGTGTATGGTGAGTGGAGACCCGAACCTAATGAAGATGGGTGCTGAGCAATGCACTAGGCTGAACTCTGACGAGATGACGGGATTCGATGAGGAGCCAGAAGAAGAAGACGATGATAGCGGGTGGAGTGAAGACTGGAGCCTCGGCGAGCTCACGGATGAAGACGAGGTCGGTGACCCCAACGCGACGATGCTTCCAGACCCGCTTTGTTTGTCTGCTGCTCGCAACAAGAAAGGTTCTCAAGAACATGCGAAAGACTGGGTGGGAATACGGTGCGCTCACGTTGATACAGTCCAACATAATGAGATCGAATTTCAACTTGATCCCACATAAGCTCCAACCTATACTAACTATCATTCATCACTCTTGCTCTTGCAGATCCTGACAAATTTGGCCCCGACCCTACGTATGCTGACCTCTACGACGGACCGTTTGGACCAAGCGAGAGTGTGATGGCTGTTGCAGAAGATTCCCTTGCACTGTTGCTCTACTTTTTGCCACCGAGACTGTGGTTGAACATCACGTTGGAATCGAACAACTATCAGTCGCAGACACTTGTGCATCGGACCCGAGGGATCCGAGACCAGCAGCGCACCAGTGGAGGGGAGGTTGAAGAGTTGAGTGCCATCCGGCGACGGTTGTCAAGCGTCCCTAAGATTGAACCGTGGGAAATTCTTCGCGTCATGGCGTTGCTGATCGCGCGGATGTTGACTCCGATCAGGAAAGGAATCGCCGCACACTGGGGGCTAAAGAAGGTGGGTGCACTTCCGTCCAACAGGTTCGGTCAGTTCATGTCGAAGAACAGATTCTTCCATTTAATGGGCTACCTGCACTTCAGCAACAACAAGTCGCCTCAGGCGAAGCTCGACCGCGCATGGAAGATACGACCGGTAGTCGACGTGCTACAGCGGACTTTTGCTCGAGGTTACCGCACCCCTCCTGTCATCAGCTTCGATGAAGCCACCCTCCCGTCCCGATCGCGATACAATCCAACCCGCCAGTTCAACAAAGATAAGCCTCATAAATGGGGAACCAAGGTATTCGTCGCGGCGTGTGCCAAGACAGCGTACTGCCTGAGGTGAGTCTGGTATGAAGCGCAACTAGCCATTGCTGGTTGCGCTTCTTTTTTTTTGGTCCAAGTGCTTATGTTGGCTTGGATCAACATAAGCACTGCTCTCTACAATGTCATCCAACATAAGGCTAACTTTAGATGTGTTTAACGTTTGTATCCAGACTCGAAGTGTATTGTGGAGCCAAGACGCATCTCCGGACACCAGTACCTGAGGACAACAACTGTGGAGAAGCCGCTGTGATCCGGAACATGAATGCTTTGTGCCCGCCTAGTTCTACAAGCCCCTGGCGCTTAGTGGGCACGGGATAGATTCTACACCTCGGTGGGGCTTGGCGCTAGAACTCCTCCATCGACGAAATTTACCTGACTGGCACCATACAAACAGATCGCACTGGGTATGCGGATGGAGTGGTTACGTCGAAGAAGTTTAAGCAAGTGAATGGTCGAAAAGAAGTAGTTCCTCCGCAGGGCACGGTGAAGATAGCGGAGAACAAAATGTTCCCAGCAATCACGGCGCTCATGTGGATGGATCGTATTCCGGTCCACATGCTCTCCAGCGCAGGCAGCCGAGTCACTGGGACTGTAATGCGTCGTGTGCACGGAGAGATGACCCCAGTACCTGCTCCGTAGTTGGTACGGGACTACCACCGCTGGATGGGTGGCGTCGATGTGCACGACCAGCTCCGGATGCAGCGCTACAGCGTCCAACTCAGTTACAAGACGAGAAAGTACTATAAAACCCTGTTCTTCGGGTTGTTCGACATGGCGCTCGTAAACGCTTTCATCGTGTTTCGCCACTACCGGCAGATGAACAACCTGAGCGCATCGAAACACTTTCAGTTCTTCGAGACCTTGATGGACCAGCTTCTGGCCGTGGATTCTATTGAGGCCATCGATACTATCGCGCAATCAGCTCGAGCCCAAGCCTGGACTGCTGCGTCTCCAGCCAGATCAGATTCGAGCAGACAAACAAATCCAGACGATGTTATCGCTCATGGGCATACACTGGAGGAGAATCCGGACACCGTAGACGGAGAACACGGACTGAAGCGACGCCACCGATCCTGCAAAGTATGCGCGCTATTCAAGGCCAAGCCGCGGAAGTACACGAAATACTTCTGTCCCGGGTGCTCTACAGGAAATCGCCGCAAGTATATGTGTAACGTAGCTCGTGAAGGACGAGCTAAGACGTGTTTCCACGTATGGCATACGGACTGGAACAACGGGAACGACATTCCCCAGCGCCTGCTGATGGACCACAAAGTCCGCAACCGACCGCCTTCACGTCACCCTGGCAAGAAGCGACGTCGGCGCAGCGCGGATGTCGAGAGCACCCTTCACAGCGACCGCGAAGAAGCTGAAAACGACTTAGACAACGAGGCGGAGGCGAGTGACGCCTAGGAAGCCCTTTTCTGAGTATTTTTAGTTTTTTTTTGTTGCTGGGGCATGTAATCAATTGAAACGTCTTCTTCTCTACATTTTCTATTGGCTCTCGCTTTTCAAGGCAGTGGTGTTAGACGCGTGCCATGATGCAGAAATATGGCCTCCAACATTTCTTATGTTGCCCAGTCATCTTAAAACTATTTTGACAATGGACGCCTTCCAAAAATATAGTAAGCACCTGACATACCTGCAGCAGATATTGCAGGCATAACGATCGAATAAAATCCGTGGGGCGTAAAAATCGTCTGAGTAATCTACCCTTCCCCTATATTTAATCTCTGTAGCCATCTTATCGCTAGATCTAGAATTTTGTATTAGAAATGCTGACCATCGCTCTGAACTGGCCCACAATCACTCTCTCTCTGCATATATCTCGCATATCTCATTTTTGCGCTCAAGTTGAAGAAGCCCACACTTTCGAAAATCGGTCGTTGAGGGCAAAGTGCCGCCATCGTAACGAAAGGTACGTACTCAAGAAGCTTGGAGAAGAATGTTTGCTAATTGGCTTCCTACTTGCAGGAGATGGTTCACTCGGCCACGTATTGGCGTCTTATCCAGAAACCAGCCCACAGAGGGAGGAAGTCCACTTCGTAGCGTTGCATAGTGAGAATAGCCCTTGATAGAGAGCGAAAATCCCACAAACACGATGCTAATTGTCCGTCATCTCCGCTTGTATATAACTCGTAGTGAAACTACTCATGCAAAGGAACTTTGCCACTGTTCTTCAAATACATAATCCCAACCCCGTGTTACAGGGGAGATCTCCATCGCGCCTGTAAACGTCGTTCGGATTTCCGAAATGGC